CCCGCGGCCGGCGCTTCGCTGCTCTGCCGCCGTGCTTCGCCCCGGGAGCTGCGTTTCACCGGCTGGATGAAGTTATTTCTGTATGAAACACCCAATTTTCCCATCGCCCCTGCCCCTTGGGTGCTGCTTTGATTTGTTCTTTGGTTTTCTCTTCTTCCACAGGAGCCGGAGAAAATGTTTATCTGTTGTTCCAGTGCTAGGGGACTTTTGGAGGTGCCAGGTAGTGGCTTTGCGCCCCAGCGTATCCTCCCGCATGGTTCAGTGTGGGCCAACTTTTTCCTGGGAGGAAGCTTTCCCCAGGCTCCTGCTAAAACTTTCCTCCCTCTGTGTAAAACAATCATCATTAGCACTAATTGGGCAGATTTGGGGTTAAATCTGCAGATTGCCTGGGTTTGGTAAATCCTCTGCCACCACAAAGCAGATAATGCTAAACAAAAGATTGCCTTGATTAGATTAAAGTTGGCAAATTCATTACCCTAATCATCATATTGCCCTTCCCGTGGCTATTCAGGAATACATCACCTTGACTTACTTGAAGTAATTGAATATAATTGTCTTTTTAACTCGTATGTGTAAAACATCCATCTTTGTTAACGGCAAGTGTTGCTGTCCTGCTGCCAGCTCACCGTCCTTTTCAGGAGGGGTGGGAACAAGAAGCAGAGCCAGGTTGACGTTTATGAATTGGTAGCCGATTGCCTATAAAACCATTCATTATTTCTGACCAAGTACCTGGAAAAGAATAAAAAGGAACAGCACCAGCCACTGGAGCCCGCAGGTTTGGCTGGTGCTCCGAGGCAGGGGAGCAGGGGGAAGCCCTGAAGTGGGATCTAGCGAAGGGATGTCACCAAAAACAGCTCTTCCCCTTGCCCTCAGCAGCAGAAAAGCACAGAACACGTGGCAGGGTTGGAAATGAGAGCAGCAGAGCATAACAGGCACTGAAGGCAGAGGCATTGCTGACCCTCCCTTGGCCCAAATAGGTTGAAATGCTAAAAACAAAGGAACGGTGCCAGCGGGAGGGAGGAAGCTCATGGAAATTTTTCTCCCATTAATAATCAGAGGTGCAAGGAGTGAGAAATTCTCTTCAGATGTCATTTTTATAAGAACAAATACCTAGGAAAGGAAGCTAGGCAGAAAACAACTCATGTTTTCTTTTTCCCAGCTCTCCTGAGTGACAGGGAAAGACTACCTTAGCACAAAAATTTCCAATATTACATCAGCAATCAATCATTTAGAAATGCAGAGTTATAAAATAAAACTGGCCTGGGTTTTAAGTGATTCAGATTGGCCTGTTATTCTCACTGGTTTATTAGTGGATTAAACTGGTTCAGGGAACGGGCCCAAGGGTTAGGACACGACTCTTCGTATTATTAAAACACTACCATAATGACCAGCACAATTTCAGCCCGTGTCAGCTCACACTTTCCTGTGGTTTGGGGGTTAACCCAGTCCTGGACCTGCCCATTACACACAGAGCAGCCATGCTCTTTGGGGAGTCAGTAAAACTTCACCTATAGCGATGCCACCAGCTGGGCCATAACAATTGGCCCTAGTCCCTGCTCCTTTGGGTTTAGCTGCATGGCATAAATATGGGGTGAGCGTTGTAGGAAGCCCAGCCTAGGGCTCAGGCTGGAAGAGATGTTTGTGTTGTCTGGCATTGGATGTCTGTGCAGGGACAGTGGATTTTGTGACCGTGCTTGGTATGTGATGATGCAAAACCTCCTTGCCCCACTCTCTCGCGTCCCCACAGCTGCAGTGGGTTGTGGCTGTAGCTGTGGCCAGGGGCCAGCAATGTCCCCAGGGAGGAGGACTGCAGCTTTTGGTGTCTGCCAGCCCTGGCAGTGGTTTGGGCCAAGCATGGTTTGGGGAGACCGGAGGCTGTATGGTGCTGCGTGAGCTGGGAATGGGATGTGACGGCTGAACTCTGCTGCATTTCTGACCTGGAAAAACACTGGCTGCCTCTTAAAATGAAGACTCCTTACAAGTGTCCTTGTGTAACAGATCTTCCTTACCCAGGACAGTTAAAGGGTGAATCTTCCTCCCGCCAAAGCAGATCCTAAAGGATGCAAGTTTATTCTCTCCCTAAGCTGCTTTTGGAGAGGCGGGGAGGGGAGCAGAAGGGGGAAGGCGGTTAACAGTTACCCTACTGTGTCCTGACATTAGACGAGCTGCAAAAATGCTCCCAGTGTATCAGGTAGTGCGCAGTGCCAGCCCTTCGCTGGAGCACGGAGAGCAAGTCTGCTGCGGAACCTTAAATACTTTCCACTCCGACTACCCTAGCTTAACGCCTTTCAGCAGAGTTGGCAGAAGGGTTGTTTTTGTGTAGTCTCTCACCTCTCCCAGCAGTCCTGCTGACGCGCCTGTGCCGCGCTGTGCTCGGGGATTGTACGTTGCAATGGGAGTAGCAGCCTCAGATCCTCTTGCTGATATGCTGTGGAAGACGTATACGGGGATTTCAAGCTGGCTTTGCGCGACGGACCTGAAAGAAGCACAGCCTCGCCGAACGGAGTCAGCGTAGCTCTGCTGCAGCTGCAGCCGCAGATGCGAAAGGCTAAATTTTAAGTCTTTCATAGAAAAAGAGTTTTGGCGTTTACTGGAGTTTGCTGAGCATCAGCGAGAGACTTGGCCCAAGCCTTGACACTTTGGTTTTGGATGGTGCTTCCTCAGTCTACAGAGAGATGCTACCTGTCGCAGAGGCAAGTCACAATGAAATACTGAGCGCAGGCTGGGTTTTGAAATGCTCACTTAGGAGATTGATTTTGTTTTGCCTTTAGTCTCCAGTTCAACAGAAAGGCCAAGAAGCCAGAGAGGGAACGGGAAGACCTGCGACAATATTAAGTAATCTTTAACGAAGGACTTCTGACTATTCGTAAGGGCAGAGCAAGACCAGCCTTTTATCTTTAAGCTGATCACTGGCACAAATCTAGAAAGCGGCATCGTTACAGATGCGATGAGCCCTATCAGAAGGCGATTGTACAGTGTCGTTATCAAGGCTTTGCTAATTGTATTTCTTTAACTTCTGTAATTTTAGCAAAGAAGGCCCAGGCAGCCAGGCTGCTTTGTTGGGGTGGTGTGGAGAAATAACCTGATGAATTTTCAAGCAGCTTGACTCACTCAAATATTCTTGCCGTTAACTTTTGGGGTCAATAATAAATATTAAAACCTGTAGATTTAGTAAGTCAATGTAGGTGTTCTCTGCCTTTTGAGACCACTTTATCTTTCCATCAAAGATGAAACAAGCTTCTCAAATGAATAAAAAATAGGGCCTCAAGTGACTACAAGTGAGAGCAATTTGGGCTCCCTTCTCAGAACCTGGCAGTAGGCACTTTCGAGCCTCTTCTGACTGCCTAGATGGTCTGCATTAGTGCTGCTCTCGCTGTTACATTTTTAGATAATATTTCCAACCTGTGTGTACAGATGTTCAGGAAAGGTGTTTGCTGCCACTTCAGGCATGAGGGACGACGCAGGTCTGGATCCCGCCAGGCTCTGTTGAGTCTGATTTGCGTTGCAAGTCTACTTTTCCTTGGTGCTTCCTATAATCTCCTCAAGTTCAAAGAGCGCTTAGCTGCTTGTCTTTGTCAAAAACCCTGTTGGAGATCTTTTATGTCGAAGATGTAGGATTTCTCCGCATGACTTTGATTATTTATTCATTCCACTTCTCTGGTGTATGATAGCGCTGATATCATGAAGACCCCTTGTCTTGCACTGCTCTTGCTCTGAAATTCATGGAGATTTAGTGCCTTTGAAATTGTTTTAAAAGGAAAGGAAAAGTTTTTGAAGTCCCTTTTTTTCTTCTTCTTCTATTCCCCTCAACAGTGCCGCAGCACATTTTTCCGGCCTTCCACGCTCCTTTGCCAATTGACATGCGCCACCAGGAAGGACGATACCATTACGAACCTCACTCTATCCACGCTATCCACGGGTAAGTCTTTCACGTCCGCTCCCATGCCTCGCTAAAATGTTGGCCACCCGCAATGCGATAAATCCTGCAGCTAAGGTCCTGGGGACTCACTGTCCTCCTGGCAGTCTGGCCATGCTGGCCACCCCCTGCTCTGCTGTCCCCGTCCGGTGGCAGGACTGACCTGTCTGGCAAGAGTGCTCTATAGCTCAGTTAAACCTATGGAACTGTCATATAGCAGCAGGATGGGAGTGCAGGGCTTCTCTGTCTTTATCGGGCTGAGGTCCTGGCGACAGGCTTGACTTGCGTTTTTGAGCCCACAATGCTTCCCACATCACCCCGTGCCTGGGCCATTTCTGGCACCGTCTTGGAGAAGACCCAGTGCTGCTCCCTCTGTTTGGAGACCTCACGTATTCTTCCTCCCTGCCCACCAGTTGCAGGGATGGGGGGAAGGGCTGTCAGGGATACTGTAATTCACTTTTATTTTACTGGACAGGCTGGAAGGTGTGTTCTAAAATGCAGTAAAGAGACAGGTCCTCAAGCAGATGTCTATGTCTGCTTTGGAAGGGCAAGACCCCAGATTTCGGTGGTGACCTGCTCGTGAGAGCCTCCCCTCCCCAGGGCAGCTGATGGCCAGCGAGCACAGGTGCCAGTCAGGGGCTGTACCCTGAGAGGGGGGATTGTCATTAGTGTCCTCATCCAGGCCATGACAGCTCAATAGTCCTTGACATCTTGGAGGACGTGTTTACAGAGAGATCTGAGTTCGCCTCCTTTAAGCTTTGACCAGGGCAGGGAAAAACGAGCCAGCAGAGATGTGGGCAGGGGTGGTAGTGACTGTGTGGCCAGAAGGGTTTCTCCTCTTCCCTGAAACACACCATCCCTGTTGGAGATGAGGAGCAGCCTGATGGGGTTGGTGGTCCTGCAGCCACCCTGAAATCTCTCAACCCACCGCTGTAACACAGGGCTCAGCCATCAAATGAGGGACAGATCCCAGGGCACTCAACGTAGTTTCCAACCCATAAGGGCTGGAAACGTTTTTCGGGAAGAGCAAGGGAAGAACAAATAGGGATCGCTCATCACTTAAACTCTCATTTGATCCATGTGTTGACTCCAGAACCCTGCTGCGGCCTCCCTGTCTGTCCAGGGTCAGCGCTCACCCACTTTTGCAGGGGCTATTTGTAGAGCTGTGCTTTTTCTGGGTAGGTGTGAGAGGGGGAACAGCCCCCGGGAGGCAAGTAGTGTAGACAGCGGCAGCCAGGAGATCTGTGGAGTCCCACAGCTACCAGGGCTTTATTCTGTTTCCAAAAAGCTGCGGGAAAAAATGATAGGGCATTCCCCTGGATCCTAACAGAAGACAAGTCGTTGTCTTTTTGGCTGGCAGTCAGTTTGAATGGAAGTTTAAAGGGGCAGAGCAGTTCCTTCTGTGCTGCTTGCAAAGAGGAAAAGACAGAGCACTAACATGGGAATTGGGGGCGGCTGAGGGGGGGGGGCTGAATGAAATGGTTCTCGTCTTGCGTGCAAGTACATGCAAAAATTGTAGAAAAAAGAAAGACAGATTAATAAAAAAACATATTGAGAGATAGTTAATAAGCCAGAGCTCTGGCTAAGAAAGCACATAATAACTTCCGAAAGGAGCAATATTCAAAACAGTGGTCAGAAGAGAGGAAGGCTGATGCTCAGATGTTGGGCACCAGACTATTTGTATGGCCCACTCTGTGCTCCCCTTCATTCCTTGCAGGCAGGATAGGGTGCACTGCCTTTGCAGCAGCTTCTTCACTGGCGTTATGGAACAGGGTCTTCTGCAGAATGCAACCAACAGGTCGCCAGCTGGTGTCATGTACCTGCGAATCATAACACCCAGTGATGAGAGCCAGTCTTTTATCATATTGGGGTTGTGCAACTGATCAAGCCTGGCCAAGTGTATAGTGCTGGAAGATCAAATTTCAGTTCATCTGCACCAATATTAATAATCCACTGCCTTAGCAGTGAACACATTTGTCTGTCAGGGGACCAAGAGTGTCCTGCTGAGTATTTGGGTAGAGTTGTTGGTGAGTACCTATTGCCTTTCTTCTTTTGGATCCTTCACCTTCCTAGCAGCACCTCTCACAAAAATGATTTTTGAGGTACTGGAGAGAAAACTTGGTTGTTGGTCTCAGAAGAGGAAACATAGTTTTCTTTGAAACTTTTAATACGATCAGTGGGCTTTGCACTCCAGGTTTCCTCTGTGGCTGGTGAAGCACCAAAGCTGAGCAGCCAACTGCTTCTTGTCTGGGGGTGTTTTTAGTGTCAAGGGAATGCCACTTCTGTTCTATTCTTTTGCAAGTGCCCTGGGCTACAGCACAACCACATTGTGAAAATTCTCACCAGAAGTGGAGTTAATGTCTAGACCATTTATTCACTTTCAGTTTTATCTGCGAACATCTTAATCTCATCTCCTGCCCTTTCCTTCTCTAGTTTTTGTTCTGCTTCTCTTTTGTCTTCCTTTTCTCCAGTCTCTACTCTGGAGATTACAGCATAGTGCTCACCCTTCGCTGGAACATGTCCAATGTGAAATCATGCAGAACACGGTGGTGGAGCTGGGCTAGAGCAGGCGTAGAGGTTGCGGCTCTCTTGTTCAATAAGCTGGATAGAATCCACTGGTGTGGTCAAGCCTCTAGAAATTTGAACTCCATCCTAGCGGTGCAGAAATCCATCCTCCTGTTTAAAGTAAAAAACTCCAAAAAAAAAAAAAAAAACCGCGCATGCACATTTTCACTCTAGAAAATTATGATAAATATTTGCAAGAAAAATTTTGTCACTGAGTTTTGGCTTTATGATTAATGTGATTTGTGCCTGACAGAGAGCCCCCAATTCATCAAGCCTCTATTCTAGCTGTCTGCTGTCTTGCTGGTACCAAATTTATCTAATTACATGAACATTGCACAGCAAATAAAGTGTAGTCTAATTTGTTGCTAACTATGGGGACTCATTATCTGCCTGCTGCATTATGTCAAAGGTTTGTTTCCTGATTGCTCGATGTGACATAGGAGTGCATTCCCCTTCACCACTGCTTGCATTTGGCCTAGTGAGAATATACGTTATTTTATCCTAACTGGAAGGAACTCATCTGCAAGGCTTTCTTGAGCAGGACCGCCTGTGGGACCCTTTTCTGGAGAAAATGGTTAGAAATATGGAAAACTCGAGTCATAAAAGATACACAGGCCAAAGCAGGGGCCTGAAAGATTTGCTGCATTTCTGCTCACTTTTTTCAGTCTTTATCTCTCAGTCATTTCCTTGTTAAACAGCATGACAAATAATTTTGAGGACCTGAGTCTTCCAAATCACTGAGCATTTATTGCATACTTCCAGAAGCGGGTCATGCTGGTTTTGCCTTGAAATATACTTCTAGAGATTTTTTTTCAGGGTAAAATAGTGTTTCTTCAGTCTTTAGGACAATTCACTTTTCTGTACAAGCTTCATTGGTTTTACTTATTTTATGATAAAAAAATTCACTTTCATGGTAAGAAGTTTCACAAAACTCTTTCCTTTTTTGACATCTTTTTTTTGGATTTAAGAACAATTTGGCAGAATCATGGTGCATGCTTAGCTAGTCTAGAAAAATAAAGTGTCTCGTTCTGACGATGCTTGAGCTTTCTGTAGTGCAAACCAACAGCAATATTGTGGATTCAGGGCATCATCCTGTATTCTGATGCTTTTGAGCTTGTGGTTATATGGAGGATGGGGGAAAGGCAGGATTGGAGCCCAGTGGACACTGCGAAAGGATGTAGTGCAGAAGGGAGTAAACCTGAATATGGAATGAAAACTCTTCCATTACTGCAGAGTTAGAGCAGAATGAATAAAGCAAACTGTATTGGCACTTCTAAATTTTATGAGGTACCCATTGCACAAAGCAACATTTTTTAATATTTAAGTTGCAAAATACAGCACTCATAAGCTAAGAAATGACAGAAAAATAAATTTGCAAATTCTGACTCATTTTGTATGGCATTGCGATGATGGATTGAATTACACAGCCGCATACCGTTTTTCCCTGGGATCCTCGCCTCTTCCGCAGCACGGGATGGACAAGGCTCTGTGGAAGAGCAATAGTAGGTGTTATACGTGTTTCCTGCATGCAGCTTTTACTGATTTGTCAGAGTATCACTCTGCACCGTTGGTTGTAGGCAGAACACAGATCAGCGTTAATGAAGTGAAAGTCGTCAGCCAGGGTGTTTCAGCAAGGTCAAAGCTGAACCAAGCAAATTCAGTTCAGAAGGCAGAACAGGTCCTTTGCTAACAAAGGGGATATTTCATATTTTAGTGAGCTTCTTCACAACAGCTTACTCTACTGGGGCCCCATCTCTGCAATAACTCCCTCTGCTTAAAACCAAGGGGACTCTTAGTGCCAGCTTTGCAAGATCAAGCGCTTGACTACAGAGGAAAGCTGCTGGCAGAGACGGCAGGTGATTACTGATAGCTCCCTTCCACTCCCCACTTCTAGGTGTGCTTAGCTACCCTCAACTTTTTTTTTTTCAAAGCACAACAAAAATAACTAAAAACTCCTTAGCTCAGCTTAAAAATCCCTGCCAATGCAAGAGCCTTCAGGGCTAACCCTTGTAAACAGCATGCCTAGGCTTGACTCAGCAAGAAGCTTTTTAACAGTAGCTCCTAAACTGTGGTTAAAACCCATCAGGCATTACACAGTGTAACAAACAAAAGCAGCCTTGTTTTTCTACTGACATCCTGGTGGTGTTTCAGGATGCAGTTCTGACATTATTTATTAACAAAATATTGTTGTTGCTTTTCTGTCCACAAATAAAAATAGCAAAAAAAGCCCTGAGCTGATCGTCACAAATTCTGTGGCTTTTGTGAGGACCGAATAGTCCCAAAGACCTAAACATATAGGAGACTCTAGCTCCATTATAATGAGGAGTTGTCCTTAATTTCCCTTTGGTCGGGATTTTATCTGGTTTAATCCTGGATCTTCCTCCATTTCCCTGAGATCTTAATATATTACAGATTTTCCCTGATACTCAGCCTACACA